CTCCATGAACACGAATATATAGAGTGCAGCGGTAAATAAGATTCTTGATTTGTAAACTACTTGTGAATTAATGTTCGATTCTCGGATATAATGACTCTTCTTGCCCGTGCCATTAGCGATATTCCAATGCCTCTGGTAACATCGGGCGTCGAGCATGGAAACCTACGTGAACTAGTACTGAACAGAATGAAGGATCTTGGAATTGAATGTCGAGATGTTAGGACAAGGGAAGTTGGAATTTCGACATTTATAACAAAGTTCGACCCGAAGAGGTATGTTTCTTAAATGCTAATGACAGCAAGTCGGTAGCCAAAACTTTTCTTTTCCATATCTCAAAAGTAGGACAATATTATCATGTCTCCTTTTATGCGGAAGGATAGGAGGGACGAGTTTGTATAATAGTATAACCTATTTTTGTATTGATACAGGTTGAATTAATTCGGCGTGACTAATGGGTGAGAAACTTTCCTGTCATATGAAGACACTCAACAACAGGATATTCTAATTGGCCTTCTTCGCTTACGCATATGCTCGTCAGCTACATTCCGATCAGAGCTGACAACTACGCCGACGTCCATAATTAGAGAGTTAGACGTTTATGGGATCGGTTGTTCCGATGCATAATCGTGACCCTATCAATCAAGGTTTTGGAACTTTACTGATGGAAGAGGCAGAGAGAATAGCAAAAGAAGAACACGGTAGCAAGAAATCAGTGTTATTAGTGGAGTTGGTGTTCGAAAATATTATGTAAAATTGGGGTACCATTTAGACGGTGAGTACGCGTGTGAGTGGAGAGTACGGTAAACGGGGATATACTAGAACGAAGGGAAAGAGTAAATATAAATTGTAATGTTGAAATTTACAGGGCCGTATATGTCAAAAATGCTTTGAAGTGACGAAATTATGCAGAATGTCCGTTCCCGAACTTGTCATTCGGGTTGGCAATCTCTGGCACAATTATTGAAAGTAGGGTATTAATATTGAGACTTCAACTGTATATAGTAACGACTGATTTCTAAGTATTGCGTTTAGTCTGAATTGTTCCAATAGAAGACGCTCGTACATTAAATTGAATTATATTCTGGCACCAAGATGGGATGAACTTTTCGTTTGTCGTGTTGATTTTTTTGTCTACTTTTAATGACGATCAATAGTCGCGGTCCAATCGGTCTCTCACGAGATTGTGAATATTCTTCCAAGATGAAACATCCATTTTCGATTTCCATCGGAGTGATTCTACTTCATTTCTGTATTTCGATGAATTTTAATTGATAACATTTGCAAATACAATAACAAATTCGTAAGACCGTGAAATTACGGATCGCTTCACATTTTGAACAATGCATTATTGTAACATGAAATTGTTTCCATTTACGCCCAAAAATAAGCCTCGACGTATAATTATGTCCTGTGCAAGTTTTACATTGATTTACCCTGCAGCACCATTCTGCGTCAATATAACACCAAATCCAGTCTGTGATTGATTGGCAGTTCATTTACCAAATTTACTATTCCCATTGGGCGACCAAAATTGTGGATGACAAATACTTCAAATATCAACGATCATCTATTCCTCTTTTCTTTAGTCAATTCTCTTTTGCGATCTCAT